ATATATATATATATATATATATATATATTATATACATATATATTATTTTTGAATGCACGGACTGGTTCTGGACTCAATGCAGATCGATTATGTGACGATTTAGACCAGCCCAGCAGCAGCGACACCAAGGTTGGAAAGATACCAATCACCAAGACAAGTCAGCATGCAATACAGGTTTTAATAAGGGATGCACTTCACTCCAATGAACATTATGTTGATGAAGCTACCCGGCTGCTCCAACGCTCCAACGCAGCAGCAACAGGTACGTAATCAAGCTACTCCTTCTTCGGCCTTCTTCTTCCCCTCTTCGTCAGTCTTCTCCCCACTCAACTCACTCTCCTATCTCCCTCCTCGCCGGCCTTAATCGTTGTCAGCGATGTTGAATGGGTGTAACGAGCAACTGCTCCGATACCAGTTTGTAGTGAACCTCTTAGTTCAACACCAGTGAGCGCACACAACCACACCACATGCATGTATGAGATCACACGAATCTGCACACTGGAGACAGAAAGATAAAGATCAGGTAGTGCAGCTTATAATCTCAACAAATTATCATATGAGCAATGAAGAGTTTCAGTCACCAGCGCTCAACAGCGCAACCCAAGTATTTGGTATCTTCACTCAAATATGTCTCTCTTCCACAACTACTCTTTATCTTGATCTTCTCTCTGTCTACCACCTCGCTGTGTCTTCTCTCCCTAGTTACATGCACTCACACATCTACTACTTAAGGATCTACTCTGAATACACCCACTAACACGCCTACTAACTATCTGAAGTCTACTACTAACACTCTTCACTGGCGCAGCTATGGCTGCCTTCTCCCTGCCAGCTAACACTTCCTCTCTCTTTCTCTCTCCTGTTACGATCCTGGTCATTTCCCAAGTGCAAATTCACAATGAAAGACAATGCCACCCAATTGCGAAAGAAATGAAAGCATTTGCAAAGAGATAAAGACCAGAGGAGAGGTAAAGAAGAAGAAGAAGAAGAAGAAGAAGAAGAAGAAGAAGAACAGCAAGACCAATGACAATTCCCCCTTCTCTCTCCACCTTCCTCCTCCTTCTCTTCATCAATCTTATTCTTCTCTCAATAATAACAATAACAATGAATGGATGAACCAGAATCAATATCTGAAGTTCCCTCTTACTGCTGACTCAACTCAACAACAACAACAACCAGTCCACCATAGCAATGGCTTCCCTCCTTCAGCCTCCTCTCTCATGCATAGGCTATGGCGGACTACCCCAAGCAGCTAGGGTGCTGTGCTGATGTCCAAAGGACAACCCAAGCAGCTATGGTGCTTCGCTGATGTCCAAAGGACCACTCAAAGCAGCTATGCCGCTGCAGACTTGGTCCGCTATGCCTGACTCTGCCTCGAGCTTCCCTGGTGCCGCACTACCCCAACTGGGGCCTTCCAAATGCAGCGCCCAACAAGGTGATGAAGATGGTGTCTACCATAGCCAGGTAAGTGCCCCGCCACTCTCCTACTATGCCTCCTTCTCCCTCCTCCTCAAGCTGGACTGCTCGCCATAGCCAGCCTGAGCTCCAACGGCCCTTCACCTCCAAGCAGTGCTGCACCAATCCAGCGCTGCGCTCCAGCAGCATGTCGCCAATCCTTGCACACCGCAAATGAGGAAGAACTCTTTGCTCTTCCTGGAGATATAGCGGCCTACCGGCCTCCTGGGCGGTGACTTCCTAGGCCGAGCGGCCTCCTAGCAACCGGTACCTCCTCCCTTTCGGAGGGAAACATCATAGCAGGCTCTGCTATCCTCCCTACAGGCCCTAGACCCGGGCTACTTGGACTGGTACCGGCCTACCGCTATCCTACCGCTGCTGGGCCTCTAAAAATGCCAACTTTTTGTCTTCTTCTGCTCGGCCTCCAGTACCCGACACCCCTACCACTACTTGAGTGGTACCGGCCTACC